CAAGGCCCAACACTTCCTCGCTTGAGTCGAACATGGCGGCTAGTTCCGACACCGCGGCCCTGGACAGCCTTCACATCCGATTGGGACTCGACCAGGACCCACATCGCATGATAACGGCGATTGTGGCAGCAATGACGGACCATGCACAAACCGTGCAGCGAGTCCCTACTCCCTGCACCCTGGCGGGGCCCACATCGGCAGCATGCCTCAGCCTTTTGAAGGGCACGGTCGGCAAGACCGTTGGGAGAGGCTACACGAGCACGGTCTACCTGTCCCATGACGACCCCAACTTCGTCATCAAACAGGTCAAGGCGGAGCACGAGGCGGACTTTCGAAAGGAATTGCATCGTGTCACGCGACTCCCGCCACTCTCCGTGATCAACACCATCTACGCGGCAGACAGCCCTCGCGCACTCATGCCGCGCCTTTGGTCAGCTCCCCGCTCTCTCACCGGGGACACAGTCCAGCGGCTCAAATTCGACATCGCGGCTGCACTGCAGATGCACTCTGTCCAGATAGTACATGGGGACGTGCACGCAGGCAACATCATGGTTCGGCATCAGCCGGCCAGTTTCGTGCTGATTGACTACGGCGGCTGTTCTGGTGAGGCCATATACCCCCTAAGCCATGGTTATGGTGCCATGGGCTATGGTGGAGACCTGCATCGATTACCGAATTTGGAGGCCTCTCCCAAGCCGGTCAGGACGGCGAATGGGGACTTCTACCGGCTGGGCCAAACGATCCTCAAGCAGTTCATGTCGGATGAAGAGCCCACCAAGCGACGAAAAGGCAGCGGCGTCAATGACGGAGTCAGCCGGGGCATACCTGGTCACATGACGCGCGAATTGCAGCTGTGGCTGGAGCGGGACCAATGGCCGCAACCCATCTATCCCAGCTCCCCCTTCCCTGCTGGCTCCTGGACAGACTCTGCCTTCAACCGGCCCCACCGTCACCGTACACGCTGGCCTGTGGCGAGCCAATGGGGCCAGGAGATCTTTTTGTGAGAATCCTACTCCAACCAGGACGGCTACTTGGTGCTGGACAAGCCCCCTCCTCCACCTCCGATCAAGCCTACTGATTGGAAGGAGGAGGCGGTGTCAATGACAACTCCAACATCCCAAAGCGGGAGCAAGGCTCACTCTGCCCTGGAACCGGTGCCACCTTCATCTCCTACATCACCTACGGCCAGATCCGCTGTGGCAGCTACGCAAGCTGACATGGGGTCAGGAACTCCACAGCAGGAGACACAAAGAGCACCCGCCAAGCTTCCAGGCATCTGGGGTGACGCACCCCTCCAGCCCTGTGGGGGATCAGGACCAATCGCCGGCGATTCCCGCCCAACGCCAGCCCCAGCCCCAGCCCCAGCCCACGCTGACTCCGGCTGACCCACCAGAATCAATGCGCTGTCTTAACAGCGGCAAGAGAGAGGGCCAGGAATATGATCCGAACGCCAGATTCAGAGCGATGGCAGTTTTAGGAGGCAGCGAAGTCCCCTTCGACACCAAGGGCCACATGCTTCAGTCTGGGGATGCTTTTGTGGCTCGAGATCTGGCACGGACTCCCAAACCAGGATCTCGAAAAACCACTATCGAAGATTGGACCCGCAGCCTTCACACTGCCGCGGACTTGCTGCGCGGAGTCGCGGGGGATATGCAGGCCTACCCAGAACGCTTTCTCGAGGAATGCCCGTTCCCGAGGCCCCCGCCGCCTTAAAGCAGCTGGGACAATGTCCGCCACTGTCATCACGATGGCGACAATGTCGTCCTGGCGCTGTATCGGCCGGCACTCAAATTTTTATTTCTCCATGAGCCTGCAGGCTAGCACGCCGTTGTTCTTTAACACGGCCCCTTTCTTTTCGGACGACGCTGCCATGCAGATTGCAGTCACGGTACGAAATAACCGGTCAGTTGGCAAGTGCTATACTAGTCGTCGTGCAGAACCAGGCGAGATTTGGCACCCAGACACTCAGCTCCTACATTTATCTGCAGCCACTAAACATGACTGTGCTTGTCGGCTCTCAGACCCAGATAGCCGGTCTGGACGTCCCAGACCCAGCATCGCCACGAAGCGAGCACAAGCGATGTGGCGGCTCCGTAGTAGCTCGGGATGCATTCCCATGGACCTGGACGGGTCTGATGAGGAGGCCCCGGAGCCGGCGCAGAAGTGTCGCCGAGGGGAAAACTCACGACACCAACAGTTCAGAGAACTCTTAAGTCGGCCTTCCTGACGGCTCAAGAGGAAGCGGCACAAGAAGAGGAACGACAAGGCTCTGTCTGCTCAGCGCTGTGTTTGTACGCCCCACAGGCTCAGGCGCCAGGCATATTTCTCCATCTCCCTCCTGACATGGACGAAATGGAGCACAAGTTCACTCTGTGTGCCGTGGAACAGGCTGCTGCGGACTACCTACATCGCCGATGGGTCACCTTTGAGCAACTGGATGCCCTGCTGGACATTATGCCCACCACCTCGGCCTGTCGCAATGCATCGGTGGCACTGCCACAGTCTACGGACCAACAAATTGTCACATTAGGAGCATACCAGCAGGGGCCAATGGCCGGCCTGAGGACACAGACTCACCGTTTTCCGATGGCGACGTGTCTCCTCAACACGGTCGTGCACACCATGGCTGGACGCCATCCACGCACGATCTGGATTACACACAGACAACAACCAAAAAGGGGTGAACAACCTCCTGATCCCACTTTCCAACTTCGAGGGTGGCCACCTCTTTGTGGAGGACGACGCCGGGGACTACTTACTGGACTCCGTTGGACCCAGAGGTCAAGTTCTCCCCGTGACCCTGCCCTACCTCAGCTTCGACGCCTCACGAACTTATCACATTCGAGATGGGGACCCATTCAGCACAGGCGGGAGCAATGCTCACCAATGCAGGCGTCCGAGTTGTCGGCGAGACCGTGCTCAGCAGCCTTGAGCGAGGTGACTTTGACGCGATCATGGCAGCGGTCGAGAAGGAGCCGCAGTACAACGGCATCTCGGCCGAGGCTGTCCTTCGCAACATCCCCCGCGGCCTGTGTCTCCACCCTGAAGACCAAGACTGGCTTTCCTGCCGCTACTGCGAGCGCAATGGCAGGCGCTTGAAGTTCCCCAATGAGTTGGGGGCAACACACCACTTCATGCAATCCAAGCATGACCGATCCGCGCCTGAGCCACCTGGACCGCCACCACGCAACAGCATGTGGTCACAGCGCCCGGCAGAGCCTGCTGACCCTCCCTCAGCTGCGGCTACAGCACCACCAGAACCCACGGCGGACCGCCCGCCCCAGAGGCGACCTGCAGCGTCGGTGTCTAAGGCACGCTTTGGGCTTGGACTCCCTCCCATTCCGCCAGGCCCTAGCCGGCCCTAGCCCCCCTGAGCAGGGCCACCGGCCACTTGCCGTGAAAGAAGAAGAAGGGGTCAATGACCAGCCGGCAGAAATCAAGAACACCTGCGACCTCTACCCAAGCGAAACCGGCTCCAGCTCGCCCACTTTCCACCAAGGAGAGCCTTTCTGCCGGATGCCGCAGCTGTCAGTTGGAAAACAAGCCCTAGCCTGCCGCCGGTCGCGTTACTGCTCTGCTATCCCCAATGCAGAATCACTATCCATGTTCAGGTACATACAACGATCTGAAGCTCGATGCCTAGCAGCCTGTAAACTCGCTTTGGCTGATTCCTGCCAGTTAGTTCAAAGCCTGTAGGCCGCCAACATCCAAAGGTCTTTGACCTGGGCTGATCAACTATAGGGTCTGAGTCAGTTTCACACCAAGTGAGTGCACCGCGGCAATCGCCCGCTATGTGCTGAGCCCGCTCGCACAGCGTTCAATTGAAATAGTAGTAGTAGTAGTAGTAGTAGTAGTAGTAGCAGTAGTAGTAGGAGTAGTAAGAGTAGTAGTAGGAGTAGTAAGAGTAGTAAGAATAGTAAGAGTAGTAAGAGTAGTAAGAGTAGTAAGAGTAGTAAGAGTAGTAAGAGTAGTAAGAGTAGTAAGGGTAGTAAGAGTAGTAAGAGTAGTAAGAGTAGTAAGGGTAGTAAGAGTGGTAAGAGTGGTAAGAGTGGTAAGAGTAGTAGTAGTAGTAGTAGTAGTAGTAGTAGTAGTAGTAGTAGTAGTAGTAGTAGTAGTAGTAGTAGTAGTACTAGTAGTAGTAGTAGTAGTAGTACTACTAGTAGTAGTAGTAGTAGTAGCAGGAGTAGCAGTAGCAGTAGCAGTAGCAGTAGTAGTAGTAGTAGTAGTAGTAGTAGTGGTAGTGGTAGTGGTAGCGGTAGTAGTAGTAGCAGTAGCAGTAGCAGTAGCAGTAGCAGTAGCAGTAGCAGTAGCAGTAGCAGTAGCAGTAACAAGTAAGTAAGCAAGTAAGTCAGTCTGTAGGCAGCTGGTCGTACGTAGTCGGTCGTAGGAGCATATAGTAGGTAGCAGGATTCAGATAGCGGGTTGCAGGTAGCAGGTAGTAGGTAGTGGCAGTGGCAGAGCAGTAGTAGTAGCAGCAGCAGCAACAGTAAAGAAATAGCGGTGGCGGTGGAAGTGGCAGTGGGAGTGGGAGTGGAAGTAGTGGGAGTGGAAGTAGGAGAAGTAGAAGGAATAGGAGTAGTAGTAGTAGTAGTAGCAGAAGTGGTAGTAGTAGTAGTAGTAGTAGTAGTAGCAGTAGTAGTAGTAGTAGTAGCAGTAGTAGTAGTAGTAGCAGTAGTAGTAGCAGGAGCAGTGGCAGTTGCATCAGCAGTAGAAGTAGTTTCAGTAGCAGTGGAAGTAGCAGAAGCAGCAGAACGAGCAGCGGCAGCAGCAGCTGCAATGGCAGCAAGTAAGAATAGAAGAAGACTGTATGACTGTAAAACTGAGCCTTAAATTTTAATAAGTTCACAGGCAGCACGGTCTGAGGTTCAGGCACTTCGCTGCTCAAACCGCGCAGCAAGCTGAAGTACTGAATGCTGAGTTCTGCATCGACGCCCCAAATCCTGAGGTGTCTCAACATCAGCCTCCAAACGGCTACTGGGGCCCAAAACGTCAAGCGCCAGGAATCGACTTCAAAGCGTCGCTGGTTTTGGAGGACGCCCTCGAGAACCACAAGCCCATGAAGAAGCTAAACCTTGCTCAGATGCTCGGACCACCCGAGCCAGGTGAGACCCCGTTTTCTGTCTTGGTGTCCGTATTTAGAGAATGCTGCACTCGGGACTTTGTCCCTTTGATCGCCTCCAGAGCTCGCTATCAGTATGGCCCATGGCTCATCGCTGCTCTGAGGGCATGCATGGCTTTGGCCGTCATGATGTTTCGAGGTTGAGGCGGCGATCTGGTTGGTGATGTGGGTTCTGGGGCATCGCAGGAACGTCGCTATCATGCCAGCTTTTCGCAGCCCAAGTATCTGGCGGAAGGCTAGTGGCGAACACGCCGGCACAAACCCCTCTGTAAACGGCTGAGTATACAGAGGAACAGACGCAAGTGATCACCTGGATGTCACAGTACGTGTGTGTCTGAGTCTCTGTTTGTGTGTGTGTGTGTGCGTGTGTGTCTGTCTGTGTCTGTGTGTGTGTGTGTGTGTCTGTGTGTGTGTCTGTGTGTGTGTGTGTGTGTGTGTCTGTGTGTGTTTGTGTGTGTGTGTGTGTGTGTGTGTGTCTGTGTGTGTGTGTGTTTCTGCGTTTGTTTGTCCGTGTACACGCACGCAAGTTGACAAACGCTTATTGCTTTTCTGACTTGGGAGCAGAAAAGCGTATGCCCAAGCGAGGCCGGTGCATTTGTTTCTTCACATTGGTACCCCGTGAAGCAATGTCGGCATGCAGGTGTCGTCACAGTTTTTCCCCTCCCCCCCCGCACTGAAGCATTGGCCCGTACCTGCACAGTAAGCAAACTCATGGCCAGTAGCAGCTCTTGCCCGTGTTGCATGCACAAGCTACCACGCGGCATTAAACGGGATGCAAGCTTTGCATTTAGCCAACTAAATAGTTTGCGCTGCAGAGCTCACCACTTGACCCTGACGATCCTAAAGGCCGAAAATCTGAACACGCCTGAAGGCGTAACATACTGAAGTAGAGTTCACATTGGCGAGAGCACCCCGCAGCAGGTGCACCGGGCGAAACACCGCACGTTTCACACAACAGTCTGACAACGGAGAATTCCTGAGCCACAAACATCCCGATCTCTACCAGTGAATTGGCACACCATCTAGTTACTCCTGTCCCCAAAGTGGCGTGAACTCCTGCGAAGGAACACATCTAGCACAACCTCGTCACAAGCCTAGGAATCCGCTTGGGTCTCTGGGCCTACGGAGCCTTCTGCGTCTGCTCTCCAGGGAGTCCAACGAGATCCGGCGCCTTGTCGGAGAGGATGCGGTGGTTTCGGGTTTCCAAAAACTGTAACTTCAGCTGGATGGGCAAGTTCTCAGAAGCTCAAGGGAATCTGAGTGACTTTGACCCACAGTGCTCCAGTTCTCGTAGAGTTAGAACCGTTTGGGCTGAATTGTTCTTGTGTTCAGGGCGGCCGACATGCCTTTTGCGGGTGTTGACCGTTTCAGAAGTGTCGAATCTTCAGCTGAGCCAGTTGTCGGGACCAACCTCTTGGGCTCACGACCGCTGCTGGTGTTCAGAGATGTATGCGGTTTTTGCGTGGCTGCTAGCTTTCCAACCCTTCAGGCTTTTAAACCGACCACACGGGACTTGAGACGGTTCGGGATGGAGTGGCTTCTGGGGAAAGCGGTCAGCTTCTCACAGCAGCAGGAGGAGGAGGAGTAGTAGTAGTAGGCAGGAGGCAGGAGGCAGGAGGCAGGAGGCAGGAGGCAGGAGGCAGGAGGTAGGAGGAGGAGGTAGTAGGCAGTAGATAGTAGGCAGGAGAAAGGAGGAAGGAAGTAGTCGGTATGTAGTCGTAGTACTAAGTACTAGTAGTAGTAGTAGTAGTAGTAGTAGTAGTAGTAGCAGCAGTAGCAGCAGCGGCAGCAGCAGTGGTAGTAGTAGTCTAGTACTAGTACTAGTAGTACTAGTAGCAGTAGCAGGAGCAGTAGCAGCAGCAGTAGCAGCTGCAGCAGCAATAACAGTAACATTAACAGTAGTGATCGTAGTAGTGTTTCTTCTAGTGATAGTGGTAGTGATTGTGACGCTGCCACAGACGGTGATAGCAGTAGCACTACTATTGGTGCCGGTTGTTTTGGTAGTAGTTTGCCGTAGTGGTGGTGCTGGTGCTGGTGCTGGTGCTGGTGCTGGTGCTGGTGCTGGTGCTGGTGCTGGTGCTGGTGCTGGTGCTGGTGGCGGCGGCGGCGGAAAGGGTGGTGGGGGGTGGTAGCGGTAGTACCTACACTTCAATTCTGAGTTGCCTCAACTTAAGATGGCTTGAGCGGAGCCCCTGCATGAAGCATGTGTTATCGACTTTGGGCTCAAGCTCTATCTTTGAAAGTACCCTTCCCGACTAAATCGAGATGTAGTCATAATGGATGACGGGTGCTGTCCAAAGACTGTGGGTTTCGTGCCCTAGCGAAGAACCGTCGTTTTCAGAAGCGGCATGCAGCAACTACCTGGAAAGCTCATGACATGGAATGTCCCCTGTCCTTGCGGGGCTTTGTTACTAAGTATTCGTTGTGCCTGCGACCATGGACGCCCCATGCAACAGGGGTCCGTGCAGCAGCCAGGCCATTTCTGTTTGGGTGCCGCTGGCGGACTTTAGAGGAATTGTTGGATCTTCGACTCGACGGAGTTGTCTCGGGGATCCAGGCGGCAGCGTACTGGCAGTGCAATTCTCAGAAAAGTAATGAAACAGAACCCGTCACGACTACCTACTGCAGTTTTGCATGAAGCGTTTGATGTAATTGACTCGGTCCGTTCTGTTGCGGGTGCTTAATCTCTAATTCGCGGCTCCGCACATTAGGGCCGGATTTCAGAACAAAACAGCAGCGACAGATTGTACACTACTTTCGAACCAGCGATGTGGCGATTGCAAAACGCTCATCAGCCTCAAGACCCAGTGAACCGGTCAAACTCGGACTTGAAAACGTCGGCTCTTTCGGCAAGATAGGTTACGCCCATGAAGACTCGGAGCAGCGAAAAGTCGCGGCCAGAAACATCTGGCAGAGCTTTCCTTAGTCTGTCCCTTAAAGCAGTACTTCAGGCGCAAGATGCCATCCTCCAACAGGAGCAACGCTGAGCAACAACGGAGTTTCACGGATGCCTGCCCACTGCCCTCAGGTCTTTCAAGTTTCCAGGCAGTGTCCAAATAAGTGAGCCAATATATTTCATCAGAAAAACCTTATCTCCCAAACCATCCCCAACTGCAAGCCCTTCGACCTCATCCGCAAAAGGCTGAATGGCTTCATGAGGAAGTAGAGGGCCCCGTGAACCTTATCGTCCTCATATGCGTATTGGCTGTTTTCGGGCCTCCTGGCCTGAGAGTTGGGATCTGCTAGACGGGACAGAGTCAGGATTGAAGAACGGATCTGGAGATCCGGGGTTGTTCATAATCCAAAAGTTTTGCCATAGTTCAGCGGTGAGTTGGAGGGTAAGGCAAAGGCTAAGAAGCCCTCGGCAGACCATAGACTCTTCATCAGACCCTAAGGTCGTAATCCAAGCTTTACGGGGTGTTTCAATCGAAGTTCGAGCCGCTGAGCCTCCAGGTATTTGGGAAGGTCTCTCGGGTTCGGGTCAGACTCTAGACGGTGGTTGTGTGTCAATTTCACCTTCAGCCTTGTGCACCTTCCGTGATCCAAGGTAGGTTGCGGCAGCGCTGAAATCAGGGTTGTCGTAGGCTGTAGGCTCCTGAGTCCGTCAACATTGCAAGCGCACACCTGCGATTCATGAACGATCCTTCGTCTGGAGTGCATCGCAAGCGTGTTGCACAGCATCTCCCAGTTGGTATACTGTGCTTTAACTATGTAAAGTTGTCGCGCGTTTGCATCCTGTCGCCTCCGGTCAAATAAACCAATGGGTTCGGTTTAGCTTCTTGAGGGGCTAGTTCAGTTCCAATCTGTGCTCTCACGTCCGGAGCCCGAAGGCCATCAAGAGTCTGCATGTGCGCATGGTCCAATCACGCCACAAGCATCCTCAAAGCCTTCTCGAAGCCTTCTAGTCTTGAAGCCTTCAGCAGCTTGGGACTGAGGAGCCTCACAGGCTACATCCTGGCCTCTTTGTGGCAAGAATCTGGGGGCAAAGCGGGTAGGGGGGGCGTTTTGCAGGGTTGAGGTCAAAACCCATACAAGACTGCGAAATCTCAAGCAAAACTGCTCTCACCGCGTGCAGAAACTCTTGCAGCACCCACAGTCTCCTGTTTCGACAATTGGAGCATACGAAAAGCTGTGATTTACGGTTTGAGGTCACGGGAAGTTGGGTTGGCTTTTCAGGGTTCGAGAAACAGGCTCTTCTGGCTTTAGAACGGAATGAAACCCGAAGACGAGATGATGGAGGAACCCGGACTGTTGAATGTTGCTTTTGACTTCCTCCATACCACTTGCGTCGAAGATCCTGTCGAAAATACGACGGTCATGTAGACCCGAAACTGCTAGCTCAAGACAGTAGGCCAAGCTCACCTGTTCTTGCCGTGCTAGCGCACGGTAGTGGCATGTTTGTTACAAGCTTCTTTTTCCAAGCATGTCGCCCTCCCAGGTCCGATATTTTGGTGGGTTCGCTCAGCCGCTCTTCTGTCCAGTACATCCTGCAGCTGAAGGTTTTCGGGTTTGTCACCGGGTTGAGGGGGCCTGAGCGGGCGCCCATCCCAGCAAAGGGAGGTTAGAACGAAGCCTGGAGCCGACTTCGCACCTTTTGGGGCCCGAGGGCCTCTTGGTGAGGTCTGAAGGCACGACAAGAGACGCATGAAGCCAGGTGCACCGCAGCAACGAAGGTCGGAATTATCATTATCATCGCTGACAGTCCGCTAACATCATTGTCGTTAACAACATCATCATCATCATCGTCGTCATCATCATCGCCGTCGTCGACGCGCTTATCACCCTCATGAGTAACATCATACACATCATGATGAACGTCATTGCAAAGCTAAAAAGGCTGGATGCCAGCAGTGACCTGTCTCGGGTTACATTTTTTCTAGCAGAGGGTCGCATCCCTCAAGCCTTCAACAACCAGGATGCTGTGCAACGTCCGGCGATGGATCAAGGAGCAACTCCTGCACTGTAACGCCTCGAAGCCTAAACCGGAAGCCGGAAGCTTGCGGTGCTCTAGTGAGTATGGCCTAACTGGTGTTGTATGCCGCCATCACCAACGAGCAAAACAGCCGGGATTGCCAGGCATCGAGTGTATTGATGGTGCACTTCGGAGCGGCTTTGGCTACATCTGCCTTTCTGTTCCGATGCGAATGAACATACTATGTTTGTATGTGTAAAGTTATTTGCATAAACAACTAGCCGCAATGCACTGCTACTACTGCTGCTGCTGCTGCTGCTACTGACTGCTGCTTGTTTTGTTCCTGCTCCTGCTCCTGCTCCGGCTCCTGCTGCTACTACTGCGACTACTAATGGCGATCCTAATATTAATACCAACCACGATAAAACTCGGGATAATACTAGCAATATCAATACTAGCATTGGAAGTCAGATGTTCGTAGTCTTGTTGCTGGCGACAAGCAGTTGCGGAAGGACGGGCATCTTCGGGCTGATGATCCCGACAGTTGTTATCAAAAGCATCTCCAGGCAGGGTGCTTGGAAGAACAATCTGCTGCGCTTCTGTGTTTTCGGCTGTCTGGTCCACGCGTTCAGAGTTGTCGAAGATCTGACGAAAGGGTTGTTCAGGTGTTTAAACTGCTTGTTTTAGTTTTGGGCGGTTGAGGTCCCAGCGACATAAGAATTTCAAGATCTATCGGCACAGGGACATGAAAACTCGATTGCTGTGGAGGTCTGTGCAGGCCGCCGCAACATGTAAGGTGAGTTCAAGAGACTGCGCAGGCTCTAATGTCTCCGAAAGGGCTTATGGGAGAGAATGAGGAAGTGTAGATCACTCCCTCAACCCAATTGAACAATTGACTGGGTGCCAAACACTGTCACACATGTCACACAACTTGTTCCTGTCATTAAGCCTGAAACTCTACTCCTCACCGTTATAGACCTTGAATCCTCAACAAAAGTTTTCGATCAAAGGGGTACACCACAATAAACCTTGCAAATTCAACGCCTGCCAGCGACAATCCCAGCATGAGGAGAAGTACCGCAGTCGCGTCCACTCTAGCTCGCTTTGGGGCTGCTGCCTCTGCATCCTCGTTGGCTGCAGCGCCTCGGAGTGGTTCCTTTGTTTCCGTCCTTGACATTGGAGTTTTCGGTCGTTGTGCTGTTGGGATTAGCGGTTTGCTGAAGTGGTGTCGAAAGACTCAGGCAGAAGAGCTGAT